ATGCAGAGAGTTGATGAGAAGACATCTCTCTTCTCTGTGGCTCTATTTGCTCCTTTTTAATCAAAACTTTTTTTCTTTTTTAGCATGGCAGTGACACGTGTTCCCAATACCCAGGAAACTCATAGTTTCTATTTATCTCAGTAAACATGGGCCTCTTGTCCCCCTTGTTGTGTCTGAAAAGTACTCAAATTAATTGCACACTCTCCAGAGAGGCTGGGCCATCACATTTAACTGAGTGGGTTAATAAAAGAATTATTATTTAGCAGCTCAACCTCCAGCCACTCGCCTTTATCCTGCTTCCCTGAATTGAACAAAATTAATGAGAATGCTGTGACCATGCCTAACAGCTTCTGTTTGCCACCCCTTTAGCAAATTCTTTGCTTTTCTGTACTTCCCCCTCAACTCCTAAGTCACTTTTATCTTCCAAGTTGATGCAAAGATGGATTGTGACAATAGTTTGTGGGTGGCTGTCAGAATTGATGGTGGTTTGTGTGGGAAAATGCATAGCAAGTTTGAGAATTGTGGTTAGAATTCCAGATAGAGTCAAATAAAAAAAAGTTCTACTCACAGGGAAAGGTCAAGCTGAGGATTTTGATTATGATGGTGTTAAAATATATCTCATGCTTGGATGACCTAGGTTTGAAGAGTTAGTTGCAAAACTATGCAATATACCCAACTCTAAAAAGGGCATAAAAACAATGTGATTGTTTGGGGGATGACTAAGAATCTTGCAGAGAAAGTAATGAGGTGAAGGAGAAAGAATAGATTGTTGAATAACCTGGGCTCCATTCTGGACAAAACCATTCACCTCTTTGGGCCTAGTATTCTGTAAAATAATGTACAACTGGAAACCTTTATTTAGTTATACATGTATTTATTTATTTTTGCTTTGCCACTTTATGAGGTACCTACTGGAATTGTGTTTAGCTCATTTTATGGAGAAGAAATTGAGATTCAAAGAGATTGAGAACATTGTCCAAGTTCACCAAACCTGGAAACTATAGTCTATAATACCTGGCTCCAAATCTTGAGCTCCTGACCACAAGAGGAACATACCTTTCAGGCAACTAGATTCGGCTCTATTTTCTAGGTGAAGACAGTTCTTCAAAGATCTTCAAGGATTTGTTCAAGGCCAAACATCTAGTGAATGGCAGAGCTGGGACATGAACTTATGACTGTCTGACACCAAAGTTCAGACTGTACACACTTAAGTCAGATTTCCACTTATGATGGCAGCCATCACCATCTTGAAGATGTATAGAGAATATGATCAGAAGAGAATCTAGGTTTATACACAGTAAACTACCTAATCTAGGATTATAGGAAGCAGGGTTCAGTGGTCTTAAATTCTGAAACATATCTGGTTAGCCAGGAAGCAGGTGAGACTTTGGTCTTATTCTAGCACCTACCACAATGTATAAGTAAAATGTCCTTTAATGAGCCAGACACAGAAAGATGAATACTGTGTGATCTCACTTGTATGTGGAATCTAAAAAAAATGTCAAACAGAGAAGTAGAGAGTGGAATGATGGTTACTAGAGGCTGGGAGTAGGTGAGAAGGAGGGACTAGGGAGCTGTTAGTCAAAGGGTAGAAAGTCTGTTAGACAAAGAAAGTAAGTTTTGAAGTCTATTTCATAGCAGGGTGACTATAATCAACAGTAATGTATTACATACTTCAAAATAACAAAGAGTGTAAATTTCCAATGTCTCACCACAAAAAATGATAAGTGAGGTGATAGGTATGTTAATTAGCTGGATTTAATTATTCCACATTGTGTACATATATCAAAACATCACATTGTATCCCATAAATGTATACAATTATGATTTGTCATTAAAAATAATATTGATAAAAATCAGCATTCTGCAATTCTTTGAACATATATGCAAATACCAAACACCAAGTGTGCACCGTATTAGAATTTATTATAATACAAACAAGTCCAAACACAATATATTGTCTAATTAAGAAAATATGAACATTTGCTATTTTTCTATGGTAACCTTTCATTCCATTCTTTGAACTGGAATGGCCAACATTAGAATCTTTTATTCACTTCAAATAGGTTCCCCATGTTCAACTGGGAGGCACCAACTGTGCAAAGTGATCTTTTAGAATTGCAGGGTGTTTGCATCATGGAAGTTCATGCCTTCTCATGCTCTTTTACGTCTTTCTCCTCATTTATTTCCCTATGAGACAATTCAATCTTCAAGTTGCTCAGTAAGAAGAAACAGCATGATGGTATGTAGCATCACTGCAATGTCCAACAAAAGACACACATCGTACAGCAAGGGAGATGCTAGTTAACAGTCTTTAAAAGAGGCACCACAAAAACCCAGGATAAGGCAATCGCTTCAGTGCCATCAGCATCAGCTGTTTACATGACAGGCTTCAAAATTCAAGGCTTTATTTCCAAAACTGGCCTGAAAGAAAAAAGTTACACACTTTTAAAGTTAAAAAAACTTTTATTACAGTCCATAATTGTGACTATAAATAATAAATTAAAAGTCCTTTGATGATCTGAAATAAATTTTAGGAGATATGTATTAACCTAATCCAATGGGCATTTATATGCATTTTAAGCAAGGATTGGACCTCTTTTAAATATTATTTAGCAAAATATAAAATGTAGTCAGAAGAAAAGAGATCACAATATATTACTTGGTAGAGCCTCTGTTGTTAAGAGAAGTAATAAATGAGTATCTGAGGAAAACATTCTTACTGCACACCCAGTTTTTAAACATCAACTATTTAATTTTCACATACAATTAAAAATATGGGGCAGAAAGTATTGACATTCACATACATATTTTCCATGTTATATACAGTCTCAAAAAGGAATTGCTTAACCTTCATAGATATTGCACTTTGACTCATTCATGTTATAGCTCAAGCTAGGATTTTTCAGAGCTACATGGTTTAAAAATAAATAAATAAATAGATAGATAAATAAATAAATAAATATATTCTGTATAGGTAGCCTTTGGTCAACATTCATTCAGGGGGTGTGGTGGAATTGCATCATACACACGTCTAATGAACACAACATATTCAACTACAAGTGCTTGGCAAAAAGGAGACAGAGAAATCCAATTTAAGGTATGTGAGGGGCATCTGCTTACTATTCCACTCAATGATCATATGTCCTGGGGAGTGTGGGGGGTGAGAGATAGTTATCTGTTCGTCCCCCAGTCAGACAACTTCCATGAACCTCTTTTAGTGAGAGCATCTTGCTGTACCAGGGTGATCCTAATGTTCACAGATATGTTAGAATCACACAATATGGCCCCTAAATGCAAGCCAACTCCGTCTTGCCGTCTGTCGACAAGAGAAGCAGCAACCTGTCCCAATGCTACAGAACAACTTAGCTGTGTGAGGTTTTGAAAGGGATAGGATATGCTCTCCAACATGGCTCTTTTCTGGAGACATTGCAAAGGTAACTTTGGTTCTGTCAGGTTTGTCTTTTGCACTGACTTTGGAATCTGATTCTTGGGACTGATGAAACTCTGCTGCAATCATTTAGAAGGAGTAGGAATTAGGATCATCAGGACTAATAGGACCTAAAATTGTATTGACCTAGTATTGAGGGCATCGGCTGACGTTTAGGGCTTGTGTTGCCCTGAAGCCTTTCCTACCCCATTCATTTATTGCAAATTCCCTTAAAAAGGATACATATGTCTTCCAATTTAGGGACAAAATGCAGTAAAAATCCAGCCTGAAGAACTAAGTATTCCAGGTGGACTGTCTGCTTTTTGTTTGGTTACCAAAAATATCATGCAATTCCAAAATCATTTTGGAAGATTTCCACTAAAACAGGGGTGACTTCAAATACTGGGTATCTGGGAGAGAAGTTAGAAAAAAGAGAAATAAGAGGAACTCCAGCATGGATTTCCCTTTCAAAACACATCACTGGACACATAGGAGTCTAATATCATTAAGTACGTGTTTGTGTGTGTGCACACACGCACATGAGTAATAATTTCCAGGGAAGCCCCTATTTATTATATCTTAGAACTGTTCTTGCCTTGGGCAGGCAAGGGGAGAATAAATAAATACACTTGTGTTTTATCATTTTGCAAAGGATATGGGTTAAACAGCTTTCCCAAGAACTGCTACCACCCTTTCGAGCCATGTGCGTCAAAGGGCAGATGAGCCGTCAGCATGGGCACCTTTTGTGTCTGCTTTGGTGGCCGAATGGTAATGCCAGCTGAACTGTGGGGCAGAGCTGAGAATGCCTTCTTCCATACTCAGAGAGCTGCAATTCCTGATCTTTGAATATTGAATTCAGTTCAGAAGTCACTTCAAATAAAACAATTTGGTGAGGGCTTCAGCAAGCAAGGAGGCAGGGTGGGCAACTCTACATGTGAAAGGCTTCTCCAGGAAGCTTGAGGGGTACCATCACAAGAAGCAATTTTGAGAAAAGGGATTGTATACAGCTGACACAGGAATGGATTGAAACAGTGGCAAGAGTGGGCTTTTTTTTTTTGTTTTTCTGGGCTCAAGAATTCCTCCTTTACCCCCATGTACCAGGCAGGTTTTGGAGGAGACAGATAAAATCTATACATATTGGTAAATAGAAAACTGCATCTGAGACCCCAGATCTGAGGGTCATAGGTATGTGGGTTTGGAGCCTTCCTGAAGAAGCTCTGGCCAGAGTTTGAATGTGATTCAATACTCCCCTATTCCCACAGTGTCATTCTGCAGCTAAGGGGGCCAGGGCCACTTCAAGACCATAGCCCTCTCTAGCACAAAGCGCATCTTGGAAAAAATCCCAAATCTGTCAGCATCCTTAGCTCCTGGGAATAGCACAGGGAAGCGATAAATGACCTCAGCTCTTGGAGGAAGAATGGGCTCAGCTACGTGCTACTGTGGCATGGTGTGTCACGTAAATGAACAGTTCCCAGTGACTGTGGGTGGTGCCAGGGTGAAGTCACAGACTATTTCTCTACTGTGTGGTAGACCTTACTGGTCACAGGATGATGACACAACCTCCAATGGCATCTTCAAACTGGTAGGAATTTTTGCTGTCAACGAGACTTTGAGAAAATAAAGGCATAAGGAGAAACAAGATTCAAGCTCTCCTTCCTTCTCTTCCATCTTTTCCCATCTACCAGTCTGAGAGTTGCTCAGTCTGTGGAGACAGGAAATCAGGTTAGCACTCTTAAGGAAAGCTTCTCAGCTGTAGTATGGGATGCTCTCCCATCTGGAAATGGATTAGACAGAGGCACTCGGTGCCACGCCTATGGGGTCATGGAGATACTTTTATAGGCTTTCCATTTTTGTCATACTGGTATACCAGCATCTTGATACAGTGTGAGTTCGCTGGTGAGATCCATGGGCTACTTGTGATGGAAAAGTTATGGTTGGTGTAAAACTGTACAGGCTGCTTCTGGCACTTGAAGAAGGCCTTGAGCGTGGCAGCCGCCATGGTGCGGAACCGCTTGCTGATGAAGCAATAGAGGAAGAAGTTGATGGCTGTGTTCAGAAGGGCCAGCATGTTGGCAATGTCAGACATGATGTGCACCAGCCAGCGGTTCTGGATGGGCGCTCCATAGAGGTGGTAGAGAATCATGATGATACGGGGGGCCCAGAGAGTGGCAAAGATGGAGGTGATGGTGAACAAGATGGCAGTGGTTTTTCCCGTGGAGTAGCCACGGAGACGAAAATTGCTCTTCCTCCTGAGCTTGTACACAATGATTGAGTTCAAGATGAAGAAGATGGAGCAGGGCACCAGGTACACGGTGAAGCAGTGGATCCAGATGAGGACGTGATGCACGGAGGTGCTGATGTAGTCTTCCGTCCAGATGTTGGGCCACCAGTAGTAGGGAATGCTGGTCAGGAAGCAGATGATGTAAACACTTATGATGACTTTCCGGGTGCGGGCTGGGTAGGAGACCATGTGATACTTGAGCGGGTGGCAGACAGCGATGTACCTATCAATGGTCAGTGGAACCGTAATCCATATAGAGGTGTGGATGGATGAGAATTCCAGCACTTCTATGATCTTGTTGGGGACCTGAGGCATCTGCATGTTCAGGATGAAATCTTCCAACAGAAAGTCTACAAACACAATGAAAAAAAGGACCAGGATGTCGGCAGCGGCAAGTGCCAAGAGATAGTTGTAGGAGGACTTCTGTCTTCTAGCCACCAGCTGGGAGAGGATGATCACTGTCAAGATATTTGCTGTGGAAAGAAGAGAATCTAGTTTATCTTGAAATCAAAGATGGTTTTGTTAGCTCCTATGAGGCCCTAGGCATGCTTGCATTGAGCACTCCCAAGGACCTCAAAAGGATTGAAGTCGGGGTCTCACTCTGTCACCCAGGCTGGAGTGCAGTGGCATGATCACGACTCACTGCAGCCTCAACCTCCTGAGCTCAGGTGATCCTTCTGCCTCAGCCTCCCACGTAGCTGGGAATACAAGCACCAGCCGCCACACTTTTTTTTTGAGTCATAGTCTCACTCTGATGCCCAGGCTGGAGTGCAGTGGCACACTCACGGCCATTACAGCCTCGACCTGCTGAAGGGGAGCCTTCTGCCTCAGTCTTCCAAGTAGCTAGAACTACAGGGTGTGCCACCATGCCCAGCTAATTTTTCTTGACTTATTTTAGAGACAAGTTCTCACCAAGTTGCTATTTTTTAATTTTGTGTAGAGATGAGGTCTTGCTATGTGGCCCAGGCTGTTCTTGAACTCCTTGGCTCAAGCAGTCTTCCTACCTTGGCCTCTTGAAGTGCTGGGATTACAGACATGAGACACTGTGTCTGACTAAAGCAATGCTTTTGAGGGACAACCTCTGCATTGCAAATAACATTTCCTACAAATACCTATATATGATTTTAAAGTTATGCTTATATTCTAGTTTGCTTCTCACACTAGCATGAGGGGAATGCTGCTATTTTTACCCTAGAAATGAAACTGGGGCTCCGAGAACTTGAGGAACTTTCTTAGAGCCAGACAGTTAGTAACTCATGACAATAGGAAACACACCTTGATCCCAGATCCCAAATCTCATGCTCTTTTTTTCAACTGCATGGAGACGATGGGGCTGAGATGGCCTTTTAGAACTTGATTTTTTAGAGCTTTCCTTTTTAAGTGGACTTAGAATTGAAGGGGCAGAGAAGACCATGATCTTCAGATTAATTTAAAAACAAATTGTATTTATTTTTGGAATAGGTAATCTACATATGTGGGACATAATTAAAAATAATAGTAGGAAAAAGTACATTTCCCTTCCACTTTTATTCTCCAACCACTCAAGTTCTCCTCCCTCAGGGCAATCACAGTTAATAAATAATCTATGCTTATATATGTCTATATAATTTGCATGTATATAGTTTTTGCACAAACAGAAGCAATGTGTTATTTTTCTTGGTGTCAGATTTGTTTTGAAAATGCATCTGCAGAATTTCTGATCGGTTTCAAAAAACAAATGTCTCTCCAAATAAGACACATTTAGAAAGTCACTAGGAACTCACTCCAAAATAATATTCTAGTAGATGATTTCCGAAAGTCATTCTGCACACTTATTCTTGCAATCAACCCTGAAATTTGACTTCTGTTAATGCTATTTTGCAAACAAGGGTCTCAGAGAGTTTATGTCCCTTATCTGATGTCTAGTGGCAGAGTTAGAATCTGGATCTCTCCCTCTCCTCCCCCTCTCTTTCCCTTTCTCCCTCTTCCTCCTTTCTCTCCTTCTCCCCCTTCCCTGTCTCCCTCTCTCTCTCCTCTCTTTTTCTCTCTCATTCTTTCCCTCTCACTTTTTCTCTCTCTCCCTCTCTTGGTATCCACTTAAAATATTATACAATAGTTCACATGCAAAAATGTCTTATAATAAGCACACCCATACACTCTGGTGTACTCATTACTCAGATTAAACAAATTTTAACATTTTACCATATTTGTTTTAGTTCTTTTTTAAAAAAAGAAGTGACACTATAGATGTAACTAGAGTCCCCTCTGAAATAGTTTCATCCACTATGTTGCAAGCGGTATGTATCCAGGGCCACATCTGCATACTCCCTCCTCCTCCCTCCCTCCCTTCCTTTATTTCTTCCTCTTTTTTTAGAGATGGGAGTCTCACTATGTTGCCCAGGCTGAAGTGCAGTGACTAGTCACAGACATGATCATGGCACACTGCAGCCTTGAACTTGGGCTCAAGTGATCCTCCTGCCTCAGCCTCTTCCTTTCTTTTATACCAAACCTGCCATTCTGTATGCGATCTTTTTCATTCAACACCATGTTTTGAGATCTATTTTTTGCTGATACATGTAGATCTAGTTCACTCGTATGAACGACTTATAGCATTCCCTTGTAGGAACTTACTGCAGTTTATTTATTTATTTATTTATATTAGAAAGTTATGTATTTGTTATATATAATAAATTATATGTGACTTACTAATGTAGTTGGTTCCAGGATTTTGCATTACAAATGGGAACACAGTGGCTAATAGTTAATATCATGATATGACACTCTGTAAGTACTTATATGTAAGAGTTGCTCTGGGAGTGGTATGCTGACATAGAGATGTGTTCTTTTATGTTTTAGAGTATGTATTTCTTCATCTTTAACAGATATTGCTGACTTTCTCTGTAAAGTGGTTTTACTAATTTATACTCCCAACAGCAGAATCTGAGAATTCCAGTTTCTCCATGCCCTTTCAGTACTTGGAATTGTCGGTTTGTTTTCATTGTTGTTGATGTTGCTTGTGCTGTTCTTGCTCTTGTCCTAAGAACTGTCAAATAACATTTTGAAGAGGTGGAAAGTGAAGATACTGAGTATATCAATTAGCTGGGATTCAGATCCAGGACCGACATCCATGCTCTAAATCAGTCTGCAATATCAGTACTTATTCCAAGTGGAGTGGGGGTACTGGCAGGTATGTTACACTGTACACAACAGAGAAAAATGGTGAGCATGATCTACTTTGAGCCACTACCTAAGAAGAGAGACTCATTAAAGCAAAAGCAAAGTTCTTCATATTTGTAAACTTCAAATTTCAAAAGTTTATTTATGCTTTCACCAACGCTTTTGTGCACCTACTCTGAGCTGTGCCTGGGAGGGGATGAGGAAAAGATAGATATTGTCTGTTCAGGGAGCTGAGATTCTATTAGGCAAGAAAAACATCAGCTGAAGAACCACAGAAGAAACTCAGAACTGCAAGGAAGTGCCGTGAAGGGATATTTGTGAATTAAGAATCAGGAAAAGCATTGCTGAGATTTGGAAGACCAGTAGGAGGCAAGCAGGCAGATGGTTTAAAGGAGAAAGTGTTTCAAGCAAAAGAAGCAGCATGTGCAAAGTCTCTGAGGTGGGGGAAGCAAGAAAAGTTGGGTTTATTAAGAAAAAACACATTGATTTCTGCTTGCTTTGTAAGCATTTTTGCATTTTATAGCCCTCTTTTATCAAACAGCCTTGCTGTGTTCTGTTGAAAATCATTTTAAAATGTTTTATTCATCCAGAAATCCTTTCAAAAAGTATTTAGCATCTACCTTCTGTGAGCAAAGATGTATGCACGGGCCCAAGGTAGACACAAATTGGTGTTGCAGACATTCAGAGTCTCTACTGGTAGAGTGTGGAAACATCATACAAGTGACTAAGTATTGAGGAGAGAAGTGAGAACACATACAGCTGCAGATGAACAGATATGGAACAAAGGGCAAAGTCTTCAGAGAAGTGTCCGAGTAAAAAACTTGGCTTCCACTCCCTACTCCTGTGACCAGATCATATACAGTTAGAGCTTCCTGGAACGCAAGATGTCAAAGCAGGTCTGATCTGCTACTGAGCTAAGGGCATGGGAGCCCAGTGAGTGGCTAAGAGTGTGGAGTCTGGGGTTGGGCTGTCTGGGGGTCAGTCTTATCTCTACTAGTTTTTGGCATTTTGACTTTGGGCAAATTTATTCAATCTCTCTGCGCCTCCATTTCCTCATTTATAGAATGGGTTTAATATAACTATCCATTTTACAGGGTTGATCTGAGGATAAATTGAGATAATTTTTGTAAAGTGGTTAGTACAGTGCCTGGCATGTGGGATATACTTAATGGATATTATTAGCTCTTGACTGAGAGTTCACTCATTTAAAAAGTATTGCCTGGACATTTACTGTTCTAGGCATTGCATAGGGTGCTAGAGACACAGGAATCAACAAGGTGGACATGTTCCCTTTTGTCATGGGGTTTATAGCATAGTGAGGGAGACAGACAATAAGTAAATAAATGAACACACTCACACAAGATAACTTCAGATATGATGCTAAGGGATTAGACAAATTGATGGGGGAGTTATTTTTAGCCTGGAAAGTGACATTTAAATTCAGCTAAGGATAAAGAGATCTACCATGAAAAGACCTATGAGAAAAGGATTCTGGGTAGTGGGAATGGCGGCCCTGGGGTGGGAATGAACTTAATATGTTCATGGAACAGAAGGACATGGGAACGATTTCTCATTTTACAGATGAGGAAACCGAGGCTTGGATTTTTAGGGAATTTGCCCAAAGACACAAACTGAGCAAGTGGGGGATCCAGAAGGTAGCTCCAGCTCTGACTTTATGGCATATCAGATTCTGCTTTATTTGGTTTTGGTCACAGAAAAGGGTTCTCAGCAGGAAGAAAGTGATTTCTGTTCTCTAGGTTGCCCCTGGAAAAGTGCCATCATTTCTCAGAACTTCTTTTTTTCTGTCCATCAAACAATGCCCACATTCCCTCCCATGCCCCTGCTCCCCAAGGAGGCAGGAAGGTATACATGGTGGGGGTTCCTCAGAAAAAGTGCTTTGTATATTCTGTGGAGAGTGACTCTTTGCTGTCTCCTCCTCCCCAGTTGAACCCTTGTGAAGTGTGGTGCTAAAAATTCTCCATATTCAAGTTCTTTAAAAATATTCCAGCCCCATCTAATTAATGCTTTAAGTCAGGCAAGTCATCAACTCCAAAGGAAAATGCTAGATATTTCCATTTGACATTTCCTTAAGTCTCTAGTAATTGCCTCTCTTTAGCAACTAACCCACAGACACCGAGTTTCCCATTTTTTTTTTTTGTACTGATGGATTTCTCCCCAAGGCAACATCAAGAACACTTAGGAGATCTTGGGGTGAGGGAAAGAGAGAGATGTGAGCTGGGAGACCCAGAGGGGAATGATGCAATGCTTATGTATTGATGTTCTGAAAAATAAATGAGAAGGTATAGAGTCGTCAACT